TTTAATGCATCCAGGAGTATAATGTTGACTGAGGATCCTCCATCCACAAGGATCCTTCTGACGAAATGGTTGGCGATGTAAAGAGTGATCACCAATCCATCATGGCGAGGATCATGGATGTCTTGTCAATCTGCTTTGAAGAAGGTGATCTCTTTCTAATTTGTGATTAACATATTATTCTGTTCCCCTTTTTCTTTATCTATTTTTGAAACCTTGGCGTGCCTCTTTGCTGTAGAATAAGAGGTACCACAAATGTCAGATCCTCCAGAGATCACATTGATTACCTTGGCGTCAGCGGGAGGGGATCCTGGTTTGTCGAGGATCTTCTGAGGATCCTGATCTTTCTCTTTGGATCTCTCCTTTCTTCTTCCAAGGATTTCTTTGAGGTATCATTTGCCTAATAGGTAGTCAATCTCCTTCCTGAGAGCTATGCAATCCTCTGTGATATGGCCAAAGTCTTCATGGTGTGCACACCATTTGGATTTGTCTTTTCCAAGTGGTAGATTTTTCTCCTTTTCTTGGCCATCTTGCTTTGTCTCCAAGATCCTTCATAGCAAATATTACACCTGAAATATACACAGAAAAACTATAGTCGGTAATTTTAGGAAATTCTTCTTCCTCTCCTTCATCTTCAAGGGCATTAACCCTATGATGGTCAGGTTTGGAATATGGTTTTGATTTATAAGATCTTTGAGCCGAGGATTCGACCTTCCTATTGGGGTGATCGTATGAGCTTGGTGGGATACTCCTCTTTTGGATCTACTTGTCTTATTCGGGGCTTATGAACCTTAGTGCTTTGCTCCTAACTCCATCCATCCTTTTGCATGGATTCATTACAAGGTCTTCATAGAAAGGAGAGTCCTTCTTTAAGCCCATTTTAAAGGCTTCAACTGCAGTCGCCATGTCGATGTTGGGGATACTCATAGCTTCCCTGCCAAACCTATTCACAAAAGTCCTAAGGGATTCCTTAGGATCCTGGACCACTCGATAAAGATTACTAGTGATCTTTTCGAATGTTCTGGTATAAGAAAATTGATTGTTAAATAAATTAACTAAGTGAGAAAACTAAGTAATATAGTAGGGGGGAACGTTAAGAAGCCATTTTAAAGTTGATCCTGTGAGGGTTGAACCAAAACCCTTGCACATGCAAGCTTCTTTCAAGTGAGTGGGGATGGGGATGATCTTCATCCTTTCCCTGTATTGTGCAATGTGCTCCTCAGGATATGTAGTACCGTCATAAGGCTTCATGTTGGGGGTTTGGAAGCGCTTTGGGACTTCAGTATCAGCTATCGTCGGAACAAATCTTGAGATCCTATGGCTTGTGGAGTATACTTCTGGTACAGGTTGAACTACTCCAGACACGCTTAAGATCATTTGTTTTAATTGTTGAAGCTCCTTGGCCATGATCAGGCTTAAACCTGTATCAAGGTCCATAAAGTTAGTAGTAATGACATTATTATTGATGAGGTTACCAAGATCCTTGATATGGGGAGTAACAAAGGTTTTGCTGGGATCTTGGATCGTATGGGCTTGCTCTCTTGGAGTTACACCCAAGGCAGGAACAGAGGTTGGTATTGAGGATCCTATCTCACAGCGAATCGTTGACGATCCCGTGTTATCAAAGTTCAGGATCTTGGGTTGCAAGATTGAGGGTCCTGCTTCTTGAGGCTTGTGGATTTATGTCCTCGTTCTCTCCACTTCCTTTAGAATTGTCTTGTTATCCTCCTTCTGTTGAGCGACTTGTCGTTCCAGTCTCTTCATCATAGCGAATATTTCATTATTGGAAATCAGCACAAGAGGATCCTAGAGTCCTTAGGTAACGACCGGAGAAGTGTTTTTCTTTGGTGCTTTCGAGGCTTTCTTGGGAGCTCCAGCTAGAGGTGGTGGAAGGTTTTTGGAGGAAATTGGAGGAATTGAGGAAAAGGACAGATTCGATTGTGTAAACATGATTTTTTGAAAGATTTTGAACACCACAACCCCACGGTAGGCGCCAAATTGTTTTGGTTAAAAATTACACAAGTGAAACTGAACCAAATTGTATGAGAGGTTGTGATGTTCAGAATAAACAGGTAAAAAATGGTGATCAAAGTGACACAAGTGTTTTACAAGGAAAGCCCTTGATCCTTGCTAGGATCTGCGACACAAAACCTTGGGAGGTTATAATGATCACCTTCCTTGATGATTTTATTGATTGAAGAAGTTGATTACAGAGATGAATGTGTAAATGTAAGTGAAGGGTTTTGAGCATCCTAACAACCTTAAGGTGCACATACAACCCTAAATGCTTTGGAACTATGTTTTCTCTATTATACATGCAAAATTGATTTCCAAAGCATTGTCCTATCTAGCATGTAATTATAGGTACTTGTACAAATAAAACTAGATAGAAATACATACCTCTACTTGTAGTTGATTGCTTGGAGCTTTAAGAGCCTAGCACCAATAATGTGAATGCCTCAAGTGGAATCACAAATCACCACTACAACTTGGAAGACTTGAGAGACTATGATGCACACTTAGAAATTGGATATGCTTTCTTATCTCACACACTAGTGTCAGTTTCTAGAGCCTTGGACTTCTTTATATAGCATGGAGGATTAGGTTTACATCCATGTAAACCCTAATACCCATAACCTTTCACATACTTAGGATCCATGGGTCAAAAGCTCCATGGACTATCCATGGACTTCTATTCAAGCTTAGCCCATCCTCAATAATCAATTGGCCCATACTATTAGAATCCATATTTAACTAGTCTCTTTTGATCATTAAATTAATTCCAAATTAATTCTTGATCAATACTAATTAAATAATATAATTTCATATTAATATATTATAACTTATAATATATTAATAAACCATAAACATACTCTTCTCAAAAACTATCCATACAAATTGTTCCGGTGAAGTACAACCCAAATGGACCATGTCGGGTCGGTTCAAGTACATACCAAATATAGTTATGGATTTAGACACCTTATCCAACAGTCTCCCACTTGGATAAGTCTGATAACTATAGTTGCAAGTATGACTTCAGAAATCGACCAGCAATCGTAGCTCTTAAAACTTTGTCGAACCATGAAGTGTCATTTTAGATAAGTGATCATATAATCCTCCGTCGTACTTATTGTCCAGCACTTTGTTTCCTGATTTCCGATTTGTTTGACATAGAACTTAATCGAACACATCAATTTAGTTCTGACCGGGCCCGGCACATAGGTCAAAACAAAATCATAGAGGGGCCCAATATATCACTTTTAATCCTCCAAGGACTAAAAGGAACAGATAAAATTCGACTCATATGCTTGTACTAACTACTCGCTGAATCATACACAATAGCGTGTTTTATAACATCAAGTTACTGATGCGTTTTCATACTATCAATGTACAACCATCTCATAGTCAACAACTCATATCTCTAGGTTTGAAGACTTATATGATATTACCGTCTCACGATCACTCGAGATAAATTCCATGAAGTGATACAAGTGAGCGTGGGTTTAATCCAATACTCAGAACTTATGAGCACTCATGAATGTTGTAGCAACCATTGCTATGTCTAATACAATTCAGACAAATCTACAAACCCAATTCATGACAGTCTTATTTCAATACCTACTTCCAAAGTATGATTGACTGTGGAAAGTTTGAATAATATAATTATTCTGGAGGTCAAAACATGCAAAGTTGAAAAAATAGTAAACGATTGACACAAGATAGTAACTTTACTCATAAATAAATAACAACTTTTATTTAATCATAAAATGTCAATTACATTTTACAAGTTTCAGAAATAGCTATCTAATTATTAAAACTAATATCATCCTTCAGCCTGATGCTCCTTGCATGTTGTAAATGCTTAACCCTAGTCAGTCCCTTCGTGAGGGGATCTACTGGGTATGTTTAAGGATCCTGAGGTTTGATAATAATCAGGGTCCTGAAGTATGTTTAAGGATCCTAAGGTTTGAGGATCTGGAATGTAATTCTGGGATCCTAGCCCTAACAAGTAGCATACTTTAGTTTATGTTGGTTTAACTTTATTAATCATCTATTTAATGATTATAAGATCGAAGCCAAAGAAATTAAACCAGATGAAGAACCCTCACGTTGTACGATGTGGTTGAAGGGGAGGCTAAACGAAGATGCGAAATTTGAAAATGATGAGATTAGAGATAAACTAGTAAGTTTGACTGCAAATTTTGTTTTGATTTCAACGATGTTTAATTTATATATAATTAATTTAATATTTCCTTACTTTGTGTAGAAAACAACTGGCCACCATATCAAAGACGGGACCTTACAGGTTGACCATGGCATTGATGCCATGACAATTGTGTTTGGAAAGGACAAGGGAGGTTATACAAAGAGGAGTGGGAAGTCGAGTGGCATACAACATGTATTTTGATCTTCCTCGAACCAAATCATCAGATGCAAGAGTTGCATTACTTGTACATCAACTTGAAATTGAAAGACTAGAGCATGAAAACGAGAGACGTAAATGCGAAGAGAAAGACAAAAGGGAGCGTGAACCAAAAGACAAAGAAATCAAGGACTTGAACGACAAGATGTCACAAACACAGTGAATGGTTTCTCTTTTGGTGAGTCAATTAGCTGCCCAAGGGGTGAACCTAGAGCCAAATGGGCATGTAAAATCATTAGTAAGTATTAAGACTTTTCAATTACATACTTTTAATTAATTATTTATGTTTGTCATAGGAAGTCTAAATATATACGTAACTTGTTTCACGTGTTTTATATATATATAGGAAATTCAATATTCCGTGACGGGTATAAATACGCCGGAGCAACAACAAAACACGTTTCCAAGTTCAGAGTCCCAATCGCAACAGAATGTGTCTCCAATAGTAATGCCAAAAGTATGTATATCCATCAACATGTTCATATATTATCTACTTTGATTCCTTTCTGATGCATATATGCCAATATTGGTGATTTGATAGGAAATGAGGTGTAAACTGTAGCACAACAGTAGAACACACATGATTGCTATTGGTAAAGTAAACATCACATATGGAAAGCAAATGCTTCATCACAAACCACTCCCAAAAACCTGCTATAAAGTTTCAATTCAAGATGCATTGCTGGATGCAGCATGCATACCAAACATAGGAAATAACGGTTTCAAAATCGTTAAGGATGCAGTTGGTTGTTTTGCGGCATGGCCAAAGGATCAGGTCATTTTAATTGATCAAGAAAAGGTACACATATGTATATGTTTTATCAACGTACATCTATATTATAATCCTTCATGATTTATTTAATGTTTGATACGTTGGTCTTTCATTTCTTATAGGTAACACCACCATCTACCATACCAAAGGATGGTGAGAAAACAACTGCACCTAAAGTACCACCTAAGCGCAAATTTGGCAGTTCTGCTTCGGTGCTAAAACAAGCCATGCCCAATAAGAAGATTCAAAAGAATTTACAGTTGTGATTATTAAATGGTGTATAGATTTTTTGATATGTTACTTTAGGATTTTATTTAATTTGTACGAAATTATAATTTTACTTTTGAATTAATTAATTACGTAAATTATTCCAATTTTGTTAGGTTTGTGTTTTTCCTTTTGATTTGTTATATATATATATATATATATATATATATATATATATATATATATATATATATATATATATGTGTGTGTGTGTGTGTGTGTGTGTGTGTGTGTGTGTGTGTATATATATATATATATATATATATTATTTTTTTAAATATATATATATATATATATATATATATATTATTTTTTTAAATATATATATATAATCACATTTGTCACACAAATAATGGAGTTTTTTGGAGTGACTACATATACCAAACGCCACACAATCGTTGTGTCACCAAATATACAAAAGGCTACACATTTACTTGACTTTAAAAACCATATAGTCACTCTTTCTAACACCTGAGGCCACTCATTGCTTAATTGTAAGTGACGAAAGCCCCAAAAAAACAATGGTTGTGTCATCAAATATACAAAATGCTACACAAGCATCATATTCATATGGCAATTAGATGGACTAACGTCACTCAAAATACACTTTTTCAAGATTATTAATACATTTGACCACTCTGTTTAACACTTGAGGCCACTCGTTGCTTAATTTTAAGTGACGAAATCCCCCCAAAAAACCAATGGTTGTGTCACCAAATATACAAAAGGATACACAAACATCATATTCATGTGGCAATTAGATGGACTAACGTCACTCAAAATACACTTTTTTAAGATTATTAATACATTTTTTTACTTTTTTAACACCTGAGGCCACTCATTGCTTAATTGTAAGTAAAGAAATCTCCCAAAAAACCAATGGATTGTATCACCAAATGTACAAAAGGATACACAAATAACATATTCATGTGGCAGTTACATGGACTAATGTCACTCAAAATACATTTTTTCAAGATTATTAATACATTGGCCACTCTTTTTAACACATAAGACCACTCATTGCTTAGTTGTAAGTGATGAAATCCCCCCCCCCCCAAAAAAAACAATGGTTTTTTCACCAAATATACAAAAGGCTACACAAACATCATATTCATGTGGCAATTAGATGGACTAACTTCACTCAAAATACACATTTTCAATATTATTAATACATTTGGCCACTCTTTTTAACACCTTAGGCCACTCATTGCTTAATTGTAAGATGAAATCCCCCCACAAAAAACAAATGGTTGTGTCACCAAATATACATAAGGCTACACAAATATCATATTAATGTGGCAATTAGAAGGACTAACATGTCACAACTAGCATTTTAGCTAGGAAATTCTATTCTCATGTAAACATTCATCTAGTGTAATAACTTGTACACTAAATGAATATCATACTCTATGCTCATTCAAATACATCTCACATGTTCAATTAAGGGTTGGAAACCCTAGAAACCCCGGTTCAAGTTTATTATGAACTTGGATTCTCTTATTGGGCCTAATGGACCAATAAACCTTCAACTTGACTATTTTGGGCCTAGGAACCCTAATTGGGCCCTAAGTTGACCCACATTCCTAAGATTTTAGCATTATGGGCCATGTGGGCCAAGAATGAACCTTCTTATTTGTAATGGGTCGTGAACCATGTTAATTGGGCTTCATTGGGCCGTGAACCCTCATAGGGGCCCAATAGGCCGAAAAATAATTTTTGGGCTTCATAAATTCGAACAAGACCAATAAAGAGCCAAATCATTTCATCCTCATCTCTCTTAAGCCCAATTCTCTGCCCAATATGCTTATTGGACAAAAAAAAGGGAAAAATGAGGAAATTTGTGCATTAGACACCTCATGTTTGCATGGTGGTCTTCTATGCAAACATCACCTCACCATCTCTCTCTCTCTCTTCTCTTATTATCGGCCGAACCCTCCTACCTCACCATCTCACTTTCTTTCAAAAACCTCTCAAACAATCTCTCAAGAACACCTCCTTCTTCCTCTAATTTTTCGAGATTTGTGGGTATTTTCAAGAGATTTTTGCATCAAGATCACCATTCTTGGTAAGTTCTTACTTGAATCTATGGTTTAACTTCTAAGATTTCATCAAAATCTCTTCTTAACCCATATCATTTCATGATCTAACTTCCTAGGATCATCTAAGTTCGAAAATCATTCTCAAAAAGCTTCCTATGGCCGAGATCTTCTCACATCTTCATCAAAAATTGAATCCAAACCCAAAAGTGAGTTCATACCCCCTTGTTTTCGGTTTTACTTTGTTTTTTTTGGGGGAGAATACAAGTATATATGTGTAGATCTATATATTAGTGCATGTTATGTGTGATTTTCTTGGTTTATGTTGTGATTATGTGATGAAATATGATAGATCTCGAAATCTATAACAAAACATGTGAAATTTACAAACTATAACACTTTACACACCATAACATGGAAATGAACGTGTACATATGTGATGATTGTTGGAAAAATGAAACAAAATCTTGAAATAGGACCATTTTTGACAAATAAACAAAAAGATGAGACTTTTATGACACTTTCGGTTTTACAAGGACTAAAAGAGTCACTTTTATACAAAAATGAGTTTTTATGATATTCTTGGGAATAAAAATGCCAAAAATGCAAATTTTTGTATATTGGGCCATAAAAATGGGCTTTTCGGTTTTATTGGGCCTAAATTGTAAAAACCTCAATTTTTATGGAGTAAATTGTCATTTAACTCAAGTTTGAGTCAAAAATGTAAACCTACAGTTTCATGGGTTAAAAATGAAATTTTTCCAAAACCTGGGCCAAAAACGTAATTTTTATGAAAAGTGAGTTAAAAATGTAAATTTTTATAATCATGGGCCGAAAACGTCATTTTTTATAAAACTTGAGTCGAAAAGTTTCAGTTTATTTAAAAATGGGCTGAAAATCTATATCTTTACAATAATGAGCCGAAAATAATATTTTATATATATTTGGACCAAAAATGTCAATTTTTATAGAAATGGGCCTAAAATAATATTTAATATATATTTGGGGCTATAAAAGTAAATTTCGTGATATTGGGTCTAATATATCCATTACATGTCCATTTGGGCCTTTGTGGCCCGTTTACATGTTTGTTGGGCCTAATATGATTACCACATGTTAATTTGGGCCTTTGTGGCCCATTAACATGCTTAATGGGCCCAATCTATACATCACATGCTTAGTGGGCCATAGCTGCTCCCTTACATGTCTGTTGGGCCTTATACATTCATATACCTATTTTCTGGGCTTTGCAAATCTTAACTATATATACGAAAACAATATACATAGCGTAATTCAATACTCGTGTGAAAACAATAAATGATCTAGTGAGACTTGTCGGTAGACACCTCTAGAGTGTATGATCGTAGCCTGTAGTTATAACCAGAGTCTCCTGGAGGGAGAGCGAGAGTTTGTGTATAGATCTATACGGGGTGACTCCCTACACCTGAGCTGTTCGCTACAGCTAGACTAGGTCAGTCTACGGTGACAAACCTTACCGTAAATCAAACCGGCGCCTAAAAACGCCACGACAGGCGAACTCGTCAAAAATCAAGTATGGTTAAAACAGCTCACATAGAAATCTCCTCCAACATAATTTTATAGAATACCTATAAAATCTTGTGGATACAAAAACATACATATACTGTCATTCGGTCTTGGGGTTGAGACCACAACACTTTTATAAACAGAAAATATCAGATTTTTTGGGGTATTAACTGTTAAACAATATCTTTTACGTACTACAGAAAATACAGAGTTTTTATCTGGATTACATTTTTTTATATATACATTCCAAATATAGAAAACAAACATGCATTAATATTTGATTTTGATACATCACGTTCAAACCATTTTCAGAAAATATCGGATTTTCTGGTGTTTACAAACTATTCAAAACTTTTCATTCAAATATGCTTATGAACTCACCAACATTATATATGTTGACGTTTTTCAAAATAATTTGTATTATCAGGGAATCGTTAAGAAGAAAGGTCAGCAGGAAATGGTGGAATTTGTTATATTTTGTTATCAACATACATTAAATATTTTGAACATGTAATTTATGATATTGTACTTGATGTAAACAATGCTGGCTGTATTTGATATGCATGATGATGATGTTGTCTTGTTTCAATTATATACAATTGTGATGATATTGCAAGATGAAGTCACGCGCAAGCCCCCGGACGTTTCCTCCGTCTGGTTCGGGGGTGTGACATAACATCACTCAAAATACACTTTTTCATGACTATTAAAACCATTTGGTCTCTCATTTTATGCCATTCGCGACTCTTTTTAAACAGATACGGCCACTAACTCGCTAATGTAACCATATGTACTTTATGTCACTCGACCTTCGGTCACACATGTAGTGAAAACGAATATGTGGCTGTATGCATACAGTCACTCATTTGTCGTGTGACGGAAGCCCGTTTTTATACTAGTGGTTTAAGCTTGGGGAGATTTGTTAGATGCCTTTTTATGCATCTTTTATATTAGTTTTTATTAGTGTTTGGCATCATATTTTGTGCATTTGTGTCTGCATTAGCTTAATTAATGTTCAACTCATATATTTCGTCAGAATTCCCGTACAACGCGCGTTTTCAGGTCTTTTTCAAGTATTTTGAGTGGATCAGTGATTTGGAAGCAACTTGGATGCATTTTTAGAGCTTAGTGGAGCTAAAATACATGAGGGAGCTGGAAATTGGGTCAAATATGTTGAAGCTGAAGAGTTTGAGTTTAAAACACGTGTTTCTTACTTTACATGATCGTGTTTTTCACCATGCGATCGTGCTTTTAATCGTGTTTCATCTTCACAGCTTTTCCAAGCCAAAAATCGAGTTTTAGGACCTCGAAGCACAAACATGATCGTGCTTTTGGGTTTTTTGTTAGATATAGCAACACACTTCACTAAATGTGATTTTGGGGTATTATAGGCAAAAACACGATCGTGTTTTGCCCAT